CACGGGTCCATCATAAAGGGGAGATGCCCTGGCGCTGCGATTTACGCAACGCACGTTCTGCTTTTGAGCAGCAGAACTGCAGAGAGGAGCTACCGGCTCTCCCTGTATTGTGGCAAGTCCCAATTCCTGGGACTCTAATCCCATTGCTGATGTGTGTACTTAGCTTTAGGGGAATTAAAAAAAAAAAAAAAAGGCAATGTGGGATTTCTATTTAGGCAGAGCAAAAATGGGAAGGCTGCAGGTAGGGAACATGGCTAGTGGCAAGAAACACCAAGCTAATAGGTTCTTTGAGCAGTTCTACATTTTTCACAGTTGAAGTTCGACACTTTTTATTGTTCTGCTACTGGTTAAATTAAGCCTGCAGAATATTAAATTTAATTACCCATAAAATAATTATATCAGTATTAAAACAGACTTAATTTTTGCAACATAAAGGTGAAAGTCTGTACTTGCATGCTATCTGTAAAAATCAGTGGTCATAGAGTACTTAGCTTACTAAGCATCAATATTTACTAAAATGTTCAAAGAAAGATATTCAATTAATCAAATCAGTTTCCAATGGAGTTTCAGTAGTTTAATTTTTTAATAACATATTTTAATGAGCTATTAAATTGTCACATACTTCAGTCTGCACTGTAGTTCCTTCTAATCAACGCTTATTACCAAGGTATTTGTATCTGGCAAACTTGCTCTCATTTTATAACCAGTCTTCTTATTCCCTTCAGAGATTCAACAGCCCAGTTTCTGGTTTGACCGCAGAGTCCAAAACAACTGCCCCGACAGGCATCCTTGAGTTTTGCAGAACCACCCTCTCCTTTCACCTGTTTTCAAATCAGGAATAACAATAATTTCTCTACTTCTGTACAGTCCTTTGAGTGTGATGAATGAAAAGCACTTTAGAAGAACGCGGGGCTATTACCAAAACCCCATGCTCCCGACTCTGCATGGTGTTGGACAGTCATGGATGGTGACGGCAGGTTGGGGCTCTGACTGTGCAGCCACACACTGGCGGAGGGAAAGGGGACTGGGAACATGAGAGCATGAACAAGCTCCTCAAATGTTGGCTATCCTGCCTGACACAAACTGGGTAAGGCTTCAACCAACCCCAAAGTCCAGGTGTAGCATGAAAAACACTGACATCAACCCAGGGAAACCCTTCTCTCTGCTTCAAGCCAGGAACAGAGAGGTGAGCAGGAACACAGCTTCCTCAGAAAGGTGTCTAGGTCGTGGTATTCACTAGCAACAGCAAAAGTTCAATTGCCCATAGCTTCTCTAGCTGGAAGTATTCTGAATGGAAACAGGGTCTAGAAAGTCCTGTCCACTTGCAGTTTGGGGAGCTACAGTTAAATACATGACAATTCCACTAATAGCAGCAGGAACATAATTTTTTACAGGCCAGTAGAGAGACTAATGGTGGAATGGGTGCACACAGCATATGTTTTAACTTAATCTTCACCAGGAACTGCAGCAGGCAGGGTTGGGTCTGAAAACAGAGACCTAGATGGCGTTTGATGCTATATAATTACGAAGGCAGAATGGGATCTTTCAGAGATTTTACCTTGCCCAAGGGCAAGCAAATTCCCACTCTTGCCCTGGTACTTGACTTTGCAGCTTCTAACAAAAATACCTCACCACATGGAAAAAGATACATCCATCCTTACAGCATTATGCTTTCCTTACGCTTCCAGAGGTACTGAAAACCTGTCAAGAACAGTAAGGCTGATTTGCAAGTCCCATATTTGTAAAACCATTTAGACCTAAGAGAGTGTGTGCAAAATGTTGCTTCCAGATAGAGTAAATGAAGAGTTTCATCCCCATAGCACACTGTCCACCACAGAAGACCAGTGAAAGGATTATATTCTGTTGTCTTTTTACCACATAAATTGTTATAGCCTTCTTTGCTTGGCTGCTACAACTTCAATGTGACAGCTCTAACGGATTTAGTAGACCATTATTTACTCTATTAGTCATTTTATATACCTGGTTAAGCTGACATTAAAAAACCTTGCACTTTTTTCTGGGGTTGTGGAGAGGGGAATATACATAGCACGTACATATGTACAAATTCTTGCCATTTTAAATTCTTACGTCAGAAAATTAATCATCCCTTGTGACTGACCGGTTTCAAACAATCCCATGTAATGCTTTAAAAATAAATCTTCTCTTTCACTACCTGCATGTTGTGCTGGGAATGGGTAAAGATTCCTATGAAATCCAACTCCATAAAACCACTAATCTAAGTAGGACTCAGCTGAACAGGCTGACTCTGCAGCCAGTTGGGAGCTACTACAATCAGTGCAGGAACGCGCTGATTTGGTCCCTGCAACCATAGCAATAAACCCACGTTCGCTGCCAATAGCCTGCCATTACCCACGACGTGATTGCTGGCGTCCGGCACGCGGTAAGAGAAATCAAAAGGGTTGTTGGGGGGGCAGAGGATCTGCCCGAGGAAGGACTAAAGAATGGTTGTCCTAATGGAAATTTGAAGTGCACAAAGTGGCCCACTCTCCTGTTTAGCAATATAACAGGAGCTACTTCAGGCGCTCTCTGAAGCACTACTCTCGCTTCAGAAAATGCAACATAAATCATACTGCAATCACAGAACAGTGTGTGCACCCCTGCTGCCAGGTACAGAGGGGAGCAAAATGTTCAGGAGAGATCTGAGACAGACAGAGAGCTCAGGGAGGGAGGGAGGGAGGGGGAGGAAGGGGGAGTCTGGGCTGAGAAGATCTTTTGTAGCCCGAGATCCTGCAAACCTCTCAGGCACAACATCTCGAGAGTCTCTCGCTTCCTCTGAAGCAAGGAAGACGGAGACGGAGGAGACAACACAAGCCTGCTAGTGGACATCGGTGTTCCTAGGTACCTGCAAGCAGTCCGCAGATGTGCCAGCGGTGAGGGGAAGGGCACACATCTGTATCAGCCTTGCTCGCTGCATGAGCAGGAGAGCTGTGTGCGTCAGTGCTGTACCCAGCCTGCTGCTGGGAGGGCACATGAGTGCAGCTGGGAGGAGGCCACCGGGAGAAGAGGACAGGAAGAGGTGGTGCTGCTGAAGACTGAAGAAGCACCAGAGCAGCACAAGGGCTCTCGCTTTTAGTGCAAACATGCCTGGGTCCCTATAGCACATACCACCTTCTCCCAAGGCTGCGCAGGCTCCTTTATTACAGGCAGTCACCACATAACAGCTTTTTTCTCTCACAGCCAGGACGTTGCTGCAGAATGGTCTGTGGGTTAAGGTCCCACTGTTTTTTTCTCCTCGTGTGGAAAGGTTTACACAGTAAACGGAAGCACAAGCTGAAATGCCCTGGCTCCAGAGATGTACTGATACGAGTTTTACCATCCACTAGCAGCAGGATGCAGACCAGGAACTCAGCTGGGCTACCATAATTTTATCATAGTACTTTGTATATATATATACAACTTATGGTATTTTGTGTACACATATACATACATATATATACATGTACATGTACATACACGTAAATATACATACAACTTGTATTTATACTACCTCTGCTTCCTAGCTGTGTGGAAGGAAGATGGTTTAGGGGACATGGTGGCGCTGGATTAATGGTTGGACTTGATGATCTTGAAGGTCCTTTCCAACCTAGTGTTTCTGTGATTCTGTGATTCTGTGAAATATGGTGGCTACTCAACTTTAAGAAGGTGATCTGCCCATTTTTAGTTTAAATTCCACTCTTCATCACTTAGGTAGTAGCCTCCTTATCAAGAACTTAATTCAGTTCAAGTTCATGGGCCATTTTAAAAAGTAAAACTTGAACAGGTTACATGTCAAAGGTCAGAAAAAGCATATTTTCAAAAGTTTCTGGTAATTTTGGCCAAGTTTGTTTCCCAGAATGCCTTTTTTTGTGTATCAGTACGAGGCAGTTTCCAGAGCAGCTAGGATGGGCAATCAGGAGAACATGGACCCTGTGTCACCATCAGAGCTTAAGCATGCCCTTTCCTGTTTTCTTTCCGCCCCAAGAGGCTGTTCTTGCAGAGGGAAGAACCGCCCGCTCTGGCCACAGTGCCGAGATCGCAGCTCAGACTTTCCATGGCCACAGCTAAATGACAGCCACCTCCTCTCTCCTCCTACTATGGAGCAACATGGGGGTGTTTAGATTAATGTAAAGAGAGATATTGTGGATCCTGAAGCAAGCACACAGCTGAAGCTGAAGCAGGCTTCAGCTCATTTCATAAAGCCCCTTCTGTTTTATCTAGTGTGACCCCAAATTTTCCCTTGCAGTGGCAGGGAGGTAACTTTCTCTTCCTAGACTAATACATGGGCCTGACATGGTGTTTTCACTGTCATTAAAGTCAACGCTCTGACCAAGCGCAGAACTTCTCCCGCCAGTGCAAGTGTCTTTACTATGTTTCCATTGTGTTTTGTGCACAAGCAGAACCCAGCAATAAAAACACCATAAAAAGGTCTGCTGCAGGAAAACCCAGCAAAATATTGCCCCTGTGATGCTCCTGTCTGGCTCATACCCATCCCTTCGTATTGTTGCACACCTGAAGTATCCCCAAAGGAAGGGCAGAACTTCAGGAAAACCTTATGGTCCCTCACGGTTGCTTTCCAGATGCTCTGGTTCTTTAGTTCTGAGACAGAGAGCACCCCTCCGTGCCAAGCCCAGAAGAGCAGAGCTAGGTTTAATCAATTAACCTCTGTGAGGTGATTTGCAATTGCAGTGTTATGGCTCTGTGTGAGTGCAAAGCAGATCCATGACTCATGCCAGGATTCTTTCCAGGGTACAATGAGGAGTAACTATAGCTCCTTCCTCACTGCCTGGGAGAAGACCAGATGCACACCATGCCAAAGACGTCTCCAAAGCCATTGATCATTACACTGGTTCTTCAAAGGGAAAATTGCAGCTGGTGGGAAACTGCTGGGAGACAACTCTGTCAGCATCCTCCCTCTGCCTCCCCCACGTCCCGGTCCCAAGGTAGATGGGGATGTCAAAGGTAGACTTGCAAAGCCCTGCCAGAAAACACCGGATGCTCACCTTGGAAATAGATGCCTGACTGGATTTGGAGGACCCTGGGAAGGGCTCTGGGATCCAGAGAATGAATGAACTTCTCCAGGGTAGATGCCATGGTCCGCAGCAAGGCAGCATGTGGGTTCGGCACGCAAAGACCAGTGGAAAGCTTTCGAGGCAGCAACGCTTGCAGCCTGGTGCATGCTGCACCTGGGAGAGCCGTGGGGCTCCGTGGTGGAGGGGAGGAGCGGCACGGGGAGGTACTTCTGCTTCCTCCCTTCCGTGGCTGCTTCCTCCCACGGCTGCAGCTGGAGTGGGGTGAGGCGGGACGATGCTGAGCCGGTGGCCTTGCCACCAGGCTGGGGTACCCGTACCCACAGAGGATCCATGCCAGGCTGGGAGAAGTGCGGGGGGTGCTGTGGGTACTGGGCTTCATAGGGTGCAGGGGGATCTGCCATTCCTTTCATTGGTGACGGTTATTGACCCTGTGAAAAGAAGACATTGAGTATCAGCCCTGTCTAAAGCGGGGGAAAAACATCATGTCCATCATGTCTGGGTGGTTTTTGGTTGGTTTTTTTCTTTTCTTGGAGCATGGCAAAACAGTTTGGTGTTTGTTCTCGTCAAAACCACCAACAGCCTTTGAAGAAAAGAACTGAAACCATTTTTTCTGATGTTTTTTGCTGCCTTAAGTATTGTACCTGGATTTAAGACATCCAAATGGAATACAAATGACGTTGTCATGTAAATGGACATTAAAACACAACGTCGTTATGCAAAATGGCCAAGATTTTTTCATATGTCACCAGTGACTTGTGGGGCTTTGAATCTGAGATGCAGCAAGTGGGACTGAATTTTAAGAGCCCGGGACCATGTGAAAATCAGACTGCGCTGAGGGCAAACCCACCGTGTTGGTCCCAACTCTGCTCTTCTGCACCTGATCAAGCGCTGTTATTGCAGCAGCACTCCTCTGAAGAGCGAGACCATGTAGCAAATAAGTGTCATTCAGATCACCAGGAAAACTGAAGTGACTGTGATTTCATGTTCCCTTACACCGCTCTCCTGTCTCCCTGAGGTGTCAAGGAAAGTAAGAAGCATGATGTGACAAAATGGTGAGTGAGATAACCAACTATTTTTGAAAAGCTCGGTAGCTGCATTTCGTCTATATGTAATAATTTATAGGAGACAATTAAAAACCTCACATATTAAAACCCAAAATGCTTATAGTGAGTGCTCAGGCCTCTGAGGTGCCAGGCCAACTATGGGGTTTGAAGAGTTTGTTAACTTGGTCTTAACAAATATTGCTCCAGAGCATGTGAAACAGGTTTTATAAGCGTGGAGCCTGCAGGTGCAGAGCTCACTATTGCTGGCTGCTAACGCTGCAGGTGCTGCAGGCCAGATGAGTAACAGGACTTTGGGTCTAGGAGTGACAGGTATTAGTAAAAGCCAAACTAGAGAACATGCACAGCCAACCACTCATCAATTATTTTAACACAAAAGATCCCTCATTTTCCCCTCCCAATAACACACGCTTGAAATTAAGCAAATATAATTGATCTGGAACAGAGCTGGGGAAATCACACATTTTTGGTGGTAATCAAAAGACCCATATTGTAAAAAGCTTGTTCTTACAGGGTACAGAGAACTTAAATATGTGAGTGGTTTCGGCTATTTCAGTGAGACATCTTTATGTGTTTAAGAATTATGTGTGCAACTCTAGCAAATCAAAGCCAATTTTCTTGATGTACCAGCTCCCAAGGTCGCCAGGGATTGTGTCAGTGCCAGCAGCTGGGCTTTACCTGTCCACATTGTTTTGGTCTAAGGATAAAGAGCCCCTGAGGCCATTTCTACTGTTCCTGAATTCACTTCTACTTGGCTCTTCACTTTGATAAGATTGCCAGGAACAACGCCACAAAAAACATTTAACATGGACTGCAAACACACATAAAAAATAATAACTGGTTTAAAAATCCCGTGAACCCAACAAATGTACAAACAGGCATGGATTTCGTACACGGAAAATCAGAACAACACCTGTTCTATGTTGCTGAATGCAGCAGCCCAACAGCATGGAGTGCAGCTCCGTGCTCCCAGGGCCGACCAGCGGCACGTCCTCCCAGCAGGCAGGCACGCACACACACACCTACAGCACCTATGCACACAAATGCACTGCCAGCCACGTAGACCAGCCCAGACAGAAACCACGGCACTCACACAAGCACGAGTGGCCTCATCCTGTTCCCCTCTCAGGCTGATCCAGACAGATGTCTGTTAGTGAGAAATGTATTTGCACATCTGCAGTGTGGATCCCTCTGGTAGCTGGGCTTAGGCGCACTCCACCCAGTAACTGGCCTCCGAGCCTGCCGGCGTGCGGGCATGCGGGCAGCCCTCGAGGCGCAGAGCCCCGGGCCCGCGGCTGGTACAGAGCCCTCTCAGACACACGAGCGCACGGACACGCACGCCTCCCTCTGGCTCCCAAGCCACTGGACCTGCTGGCACCCAGACGGGCCTGTGACCCGTGATCCTTCTCCAGCTGCTGGCACTTAGAGCCCCATGTGCACCCCCCACCCCATGGGCGCAGGGGAACAACCAGAAATGGAGCTGGATGAGAGGCCAGGACGGGCTGCGCTGCTGTGGCGCAGGGCACGGCCAGGCGAGCGCACTGGCCAGCAGCCTGCTTGTGTGCGACCAGTCCCTTTTACCCCCTTAGGCCCTGCGTTTTCCCTCCTTTGCTCCTCCCCAAACCACCTTGATCCCACCCTTTCCCCACCTTTGGTTCCCCTCCCAAACATCCCATAATAAGTCTTGCACGTGGCTATTGCCCGGCACCCCGTAGTGAGTCCCACACCTCTAAGTACAGCCCCGCTCCGTCTGCTAGGTGCTCCGGAGAGCCTCTCCCCTCCGCGCGTGCGGTGGGTGTCACGCCCGGCTCACGGGGCTGATCACCCTCCTGTGATGCCCCCGGGGGGCTTTGGGCAGGGCCCCGTTTCTCTGATGGGTTACTGGGGTGCCTGGCTGGTGCTGTGCCTCCGTGCTTCCTCAGTGGGGAGACGAGCCATTAACGGGCCGATGGCTCTCCTGTGATGTGCCTGGAAATACCCTGGGCAGGGTACCGCTGGGGTTCCCCCACCGCTGTTGTTCCTCTGTGCTCCTCGGAGCGTGCAGAGACCAGCTTTTTATCAGACAACCTAACAAAACCCACCGTCTTAGGTGTGATGAAGCAAGTATATATACACTCGTCTGAAATTGCAATCCAAATCAGGAGTGCTGTCCACTGCTCACATGTCATCAGACAAGTCCTCATCTCTGCTAGCACCTAGAATGGTAAATGAGAACCGCTGATCTGTTCTCCCAAAGGCTCTGCAGGAGGTTTTTCCAGTTTGATGTGCAACACCAAGTGCAGAGAAAAATAATTTGCCATCTCCAAACCATACTTGATCCCGGAGTGGAAGATTACGACAGCATCATCATGGACTGCTGGTAATAAGAGACCATTTGGGGGCATTATCCTATTGGATATTAAATCCTCAGGAGGATCTTGACTTGGAAAAATTCCTTTTGTTTGGTCTAAGTTTCCATATTGAAGATTAAGACAAGCTGCTGAAAAATGCATGTATAATGTACCGAGAGAAGGCAAAATCTGAGGCCCTTCTTCCCACACTGAAAGAACAGAGGTCACAAACCTCTCCATACCACACCTCCGTTTCTGGTTTATTATGTCCTTCACAAAGCTCTTACCGGGACCTCCATGTTACCTATGCCCTGCAGGCGTCGGCAGGTAGCGTCCAGTTTGGTCACTCCATCCTCTCCTGCCAACAACAGGGTGAAGGTCAGGCCAGCATGGAAATCTGTAAGATCCAAAGCAGCCATGAGTCCTTGTGCAGCCACGGCGCCGGCAGCTCCGGCTGCCCTGGAAGGCAGCACAAACAGGGACCCACCTCTCCCCGCGTGGAAAGGCCCCCGCTCATTCCCCCAGGGGGTGGCCAGGAACCAGCTGTAGGGGAATATACCTGAAAAGTAGTGGTTAGCTAATTGAGACGAATGGACAAATGGGCAAAACACAGAATTTTGAAAACTATTTCCAAGAATGTTTTTCTACCATGCTGATGAACACTCATTTGTTTTACTTATTGGTTTTCAGGAAGCCGATAAAGTGTTTCAAGTTTCCAAATAAAATCAGTTCCGAGCCTGTGAAGGTCTGTGATTTTTTTTTTTAAGCTCAGACCATTCTCCAGATGAATGCAGCCATTAGTTGAGCTGGTAAATATGAAACCAGGCATTACATCTTCGGGAAGATATGACCCATTTATTGAGCTTATAAACACAAGGGAAATGTATTTGATACTTGAGCTGGCAAAACTATAATTCCCAAGAGGAGGATGCTTTAGGGAAACGGGGAACAGCCGAGCCTTGTGAGGTAGGGGTGAGTGAGGTTTATATTGAATGGTTGTGCTATCTTTTGAATCAAACTCAAGGTACAGCAGGAGGTTCAATGCACGCACTTACATTTTTTTTCCAGTGGAAGGTGTAAACTCCACCTGTCGTTAAAAATAAAGTCAGACTACACTGTAGGGAGTCCTCCCTGACACAGGTGCATCGGGCTGTGAAATAATCTCCCAAGGGAACAACCGGACACCTGGGATGTTTAGGCCTCGAATAAATATAGCACTATAGGACACCATCAAGAACAATACTGATAGAGAGAGAGAGACGTCATCTATTCCTATAGGTGATGAGCTGTAGTGCCACCCTTCATTTATAGGCGTCTACTGGCTCAATGAAGTCGGATGAACAATGTTACAGCAAAACTGCTCCAGAGGTGAACCCAGCATGAAAAGAAAATGCAGAGACTTCAGGAGCTGGGATCTTCCTCTCCTGGTCAGCACCAGTTCTGGTAGGATCGCTCAGGTTTTGTACAACCCACCCAAGAAGCACCTGACACTCAGACGACAACTATGCCTTTTTAATGGCCCCTGTGATGTAAACTCATGGTCTCAGCAGCTAGAACAAGCTGTCCCCATCATAAGCAAAAAATCCATCCCCTACAGTGGTACTCCTGGATTTGTCCCAGAGAGACAGGGACCGAATTGGCTACTAAAGACCTACTTTAAACAACAACAT